TGTATTTATTTAAGGTTCTTTCTTATTATTATTATTATTATTATTATTATTATTATTATTAATATTATTATTATTATTATTATTTTATTATTATTTTTATTATTATTTGTCGACTAGACATGATGCTGACAGCCCTGCCCTCTTGTTCCAACCCATGTTGTACTACTTCCCTCTCTTATCACATTTATGTATATCAACACCACTGTAAAATACGTATATACTTATAACATAAATGTAAAAAAATTAATCTATTTATATATATATATATATATATATATATATATATATATATATATATATATATATATATATATATATATATATATATATATATATATATATATATATATGCTGATAACCACAAGGAAAGAAGAAAACACGAAGTTCCCAAGCGCTTTCGTGTAATTCACATCTTCAGGGGTGAGTACAGACTAGAGAGAGTAATACTTAGGCCAGGCAGGTAAAGATCTTGCAACTAGAATTAAACAACACAAATACAGTGTTAGGACAGGCCAGGAATCCAATGCTCTGTTTGTTCATTTGAGGGATAACAAGCATTGCATTGACTGGGATAATGCCTCCTCAATATTACCATGTAATTCAATTGATAGTAGGAACATCATAGAATCTAGTCTTATTAAACATACCGAAGCATTCAACATGAATTTGAGTAACGGCATGTACAAGCTGGACAATTTTGTAATTAAGAAGATTTGTGATCAGGTGAAAAGGCCGGGTCACTTGACCATCTGACCTGACCACCAACCGTTGTGTGCTATTTAAAGATTAGTGGGGTCATTACCTAATACCTGACCATTGTGGACCTGGTCTCATCCTCCTCTGTATATATACACCTTGATTTGTATTACTCTCTCTAGTCTGTACTCACCCCTGAAGATGTGAATTACACGAAAGCGCTTGGGAACTTCGTGTTTTCTTCTTTCCTTGTGGTTATCAGAAGTCTGTCTGTGTGTCCGCACGATAATCTCGGACACAACTTTACCGATCTGTAGTGATGATGGATGGTGTTATATGTAGTGATGATGGATGGTGTTATATGTAGTGATGATGGACGGTGTTATATGTAGTGATGATGGATGTTGTTATATGTAGTGATGATGGATGGTGTTATATGTAGTGATGATGGATGGTGTTATATGTAGTGATAATGGATGGTGTTATATGTAGTGATGATGGATGGTGTTATATTTAGTGATGATGGGTGGTGGTAAATGTAGTGATGATGGATGGTGTTATATGTAGTGATGATGGATGGTGTTATATGTAGTGATGATGGCTGGTGTTATATGTAGTGATGATGGGTGGTGTTATATGTAGTGATGATGGATGGTGTTATATGTAGTGATGATGGATGGTGTTATATGTAGTGATGATGGGTGGTGTTATATGTTGTGATGATTAGACAATAAAATAATAACAGTTTAATACGAAAAAAATATACTTTGCTGTACCGTTGTAGTAAATGAACTATTGATGGAAGAAGAGGTTTTGGGGAATGAACAGTGAGACAATTTTTTTTTCTTTTATTGGGCACCCCCCTACATCCTTGTGTAAGGTGAAGCGCAGAAGCGTTTACAGCGCCCAACAGGGAAGCATGCTAAGTTCATGCTTGCCTTTATGTCTCACGAGTTAAGGGCGTAGAAGTCTGAAGAGTCAAGGGCGTAGAAGCCTGAAGAGTCAGTGGTTTATGTCATGAAGTTATTGGAAGCTCCAACAACTTTCCCTGAATACGAATTCGCAACTTTCGATTTACACCAGGTACCTACTTTACTGCTAGGTGAACAGGGACTAATAGGGGCTAGGAAGTAAGTCCAAACAACTTCCACCGGCCCGGGAATCGAACCCGTGACATCTCGCTTGCTAGGCAAGAACGGTACCGCATCTACCACCGATCCCCAAGGGCAGTGAGACAATGTGGAGCCTCCCGGAGGGTGGCGTCCTACCGTGGTCTAGCGAATGAGTCGCCCGGAGGGCGGCACTTCTGCTAGTAAAATAAATAAATAATGAAGTGATAACCGTGGTAACATTATGAAATGTTCTTATTACCACCATGCTATTATACTATTCTAGATGATGTTACATAATACTTCCTTGAGATAAATGTACAGTATATATCAGGTGCCTACAAGATAGCTCGCTCTAAACTGGCTCAGCCATGTTAATATTATTATTTTTAATCGTCAATGTATCTGTGTTTTTCTGGCTAAATAAACTGTTTCAATATAGTATCAATAAGTAAAAAGTATTGTTACATTGACAAAATGTTACTCAAGTAGAAGTAAAAGTATCCAAAGTTCAATGTATTCAAGTGCTAGAAGTAAGAAAAGTATCTCATTTATTAAGTACTCGGGTATTGAAAGTTAAAAGTAACAACAAAGTTATTAATTGTCTCAAATTTTATTAAAAATAGTCAACTAAAGATAAAAATAAAAGACACAGCATTACACATGCTGATTTGAAAACCTTTCTATTGAGATTAATCAATAACTGATTCTCCAAAATTATGGCTGTCTAATGAAGATCTAATATGTTCAGCCGCTCTTCTCCCTGCAATCCATCGCAGGGATAGTGAACGTGCTGAAAATATATCCATCCAACACTATGATCTCTTTCTTCCTTATCCACACAAGTATCGTCGACGTGGACTGATGGTCCGCAGACAAAATGTTGTCTGTGCTGGCATTAGGTTAGAATACAGACCTATCTGGCAAGTATCTGAGGCGAGAGATGACCGGCATTTCTCTTCCTGTAAACTCTGTAGCTATCTCAACGCCAAAGCCCATCAACACTACTGTATTGCCTTGACTGTCCCAATCAGGACCTCCTACCACAGGGATAGTCACTAACCACTATATGTCACCACCTACGTATTCGTAATAATTTAGATTTAATTCTTGTACACTACCCACGCTTTGGTGAGTGGTAACTCCCATTGTCCTTAAATTATATCAATATTGTCGCCATATCACAAGTCATAGCGTCGCCTGCGAGACACGAGTACCACTGTATTAGTGTCTGACCGCAGATGCAGGTAGCTAAGTTGGGTGTTAAGCTAGAGAGATAAGTCACATAATGTTGGGAAAGACCCCAGGAGCTCCATTCCATCCCCTGGGCATGACAAGTAGCTATCAAGCTCCTTCAGTTGAGGAGTTTGTGGATGATTGTTGCCTCCAGAGTGAATGAGTCTGACTAAGGCTCCTCGCCGTGAACTGTCCCTCTAATTGGGGTGTGGCTGTGGTGACACTTTTCGATTCTAATTGATGAATGGCTGAATTTTTCGCACCACGTAACATCTGGCGCGTGCTGGAGGGGGGGGGGGGTTGGAGTGATACTTAGTTATAAAAGCAGAATTTCAAATACACTCAGTCTCACACATATGTATAGATACAGGCTTTATATTTAAGACAGAATTATGTAAATTTTAGAATTACAGCCTCTGAAATTCATTGTAGGTACAAGCTCCTGAAGGAGAGGTGGGGGAGAAGAGAGGAGATTCGGTGGGGGAGGTATGTGACCGTTACGGCTCCACCCACACAACTCTTTTAGATGGTTAATCAATTAAAAATATATTATTAGTTTGCCACAGACACGAAAACTTTGTTTGGGTCATGTAACGTGTAACGATTTTTTTTCAATTGTATTGGAATATGAATATTAGAAAACCACACTTAAGTAAAAGTAAAAGTACCCAAAAATTTAAATACTTTTTTAAAAAGTAGATACTCAAGAATGTTACTTGAGTACAGTAATCAAGTAAATTTATTTAGTTACTTTATAATTCTGAACACTCATGTATAGAAAAGTAGGTGACTATGCGATTGGAAGTGACGTCTGCTGATATTAAAGAGCTTATAATAGGTGGCGTGATCGGGGTATGTGGATACGACTGTGTATATTAGCGAAAGGAAGTCGAAATCTTGACATCACAGTGTGCTGAAACAACATCTGTTTGAGCATTAAGGTAAACATTCTTGCCGCTGGTTATGGTTTTGAGTCAACATTACAACTCAGTTGTAATTAGATTTGTTGCTCTGTTGGAAAATTTTTTTTTGATAATTTCTTGTAAGTCAGCCTTCCAGTTATAAGCTCATTTATTCTACTTAGATAATAAAAACCATTGAAATCAAATTTAATTTTAATGTAATAATTTTACACCCAACCCCTATCGCTCATATATCCGTCTAACCTATATTTGAAGCTATCCAGAGTGTTCGAGTTAATGATGATGTTTGGTAACTTTTTCCACTCATCCACTGCTCTATTTGCAAACCAATGTTTATCTGCCTAGCGCATAAATCTAAATTAGTCTAATTTAAAAACAGTGCTACGAGTTCGTTCCTGGTTGGATAGTTTAAGTACCTTTATTGGGCTGTGGGCGATACTCACTGCGGTAGTGAGGTGTATTATTTATTGCACCACTTGCAGCACAGTACCAACACAGACATACACAGCATCCATCCCACCCATAACTCAACCTCCTCACCAGCACAGTCTCCCCATACACAGTACCCCTCCTCCAGCATAAGACCACTTTTCCAACTCAGCACCTCCTTCTCAACACAGCAACCAGGGGTAGCACCAGAGTCCCCCCGACAGGGGGCTGACTTTCCCAATGGGAGATACTGCTGTTCTGACCACGGTCGTACATGATTTAACGTAAAAATCAGACGATTCACATTACGCTCAATAGCCCATAAAACATGTAGCTGTGACTTCCTTATTGAGTCCCCCAGTTGAGACGTCCGTTTTCTCACGCTTTAGTACGCCTGAATCCTCCGTTTTCTCTCATGCGCCTCAGAGACTCTGATATTTCTTAATACCTCATATCGTGTTCAGAGATTTAAAA